ACAAAAAAGGGGTCCAGGAGAGATACGATGGGAACACACATGGAGCAGAGAAGGCCAGACCACTACTAAAATTCAAGTATCTTGGGGATTTGGGCTGGGAGGGGGCCATATTAAGTTTAGAGAACTAGAATAGATCAATGACTGCCCAGTTATTGTTCCATAAAGCTTGATTAAAGAAATCTTATAGTCGCTTTCTCATTTATTTGGGAGCTAGCCAGGATAGAGAAAAATTATCAGCTTTTAAAAATGCATTTACAGCCTCCCAAATTCTGGGATGCAGGGCATTCACCATCTAACTTCCCCTTTTAAAAATGTTTTTATTTGCCAGGTGTTAGGGACCCACACCTTTAATCCCAGCAGCTCGGGAAGCAAAGGCAAGCAGATCTTTGTGAGTTTGAGGCCAGCCTGGACTACAGAGAGAGTTCCAGGACATCCAGGGCTACATAAAAAACAACAAAACAACCCCTCCCCCAAAAAACCCTAAAAACAACAACAAAAAAGGTTTTATATTTATTTTTTATGTGTATGAGTATTTTGCCTGCATGTGTATTTGTACATCACATTCATGCCTGGTGCCTGAGAAGACAAGAGGAAGGAGTCAAATTTCCTGGAACTAGAGTTAGAGACAGTTGTGAGCTGCTATGTGGATGCTGGGAATTCACATACGGGTTCTCTGCCACAGCAGGCAGTGTTGTTCATCAATGAACGGTGCTCCCACAATTTGTTTTTTAAAGATTTTAAAAAACATATTCATGCTGGGCGGTGGTGGCGCACGCCTTTAATCCAGGCACTTGGGAGGCAGAGGCAGGTGGATTTCTGAGTTCAAGGCCAGCCTGGTCTACAGAGTGAGTTCCAGAACAGCCAAGGCTACACAGAGAAACCCTGTCTCGAAAAACCAAACCCAAAACAAAACAAAACAAAACAAAACAAAACAAAAAACCAAAACAACAACAAAAAACATATTGGTGTGTAGGTGCTAGGAGAAGGTGTTAGATCTCCTGGAGCAGGAGTTGCAAGTCATTGTGAGTTACATAGGGATGCTGAGAACCGACTTTTGGCTCTCTGCAAGAGTAGCGGGTACTCTGTGTAAAAGTAACTTTTTAAAAAAGGTTTTATTTATTTATTATATGTATATATATGAGTACACTGTAGCTGTCTTCAGACACACCAGAAGAGGGCATCAGATCCATTACAGATGGTTGTGAGCCACCAGGTGGTTGCTGGGAATTGAACTCAGGACCTATGGATGAGCAGTCAGTGCTCTTAACCACTGAGCCATCTCTCATTTGCGTGATGTAATTGTTTGAGGCATTCTGCTTCTGTCTGCTAACCTTAGCCCTAGTCGTGAAAAGCTTCTAGCCTCAGTATAATCTAATCTAGGCTTAGAATGTTTTTAGCCTCTGAGACTTTCTGCTGAATAAGCTCATCCTTTCTTGTTCTTATTGTACTCTGGCTGGCTGGTTCAACTCAGCTTTCTTGGCTCAAACTCCTTTCTAAGCTGACTGATTAAATCTGGTTTCTTTCTCAGCTTCTGACTGAATTGCTCTGCTTGGCCTCCATCTCTTGAAATCTGTTCTGATCTAGGTCCTTCTCATTCTCTGGCTCCTTCTGTGTTCACCTGTATTCTCTCTTCAACCTGTCTTTGAAAAACTCTCTTGGTAAAATTGCCTCCTTCTTCTCTCCTTCTGTACTGTTTCCCTCTTACATTCCCTCTCTTTCTTCTCTTTTCTTGTGAGAGTTGGGCAGATCTTATTCTGTCAAATCTTTCTCTGATTTGTCACTTTCTCTGCCACTCAATTAAACATCACTTTCAAACACGGGTTCTTCTACAAACTAACTTTCCTTTATTGTTTGGGATTAAAGGTTGGGATATAAAGTGAGCCACGCCTACAGCTAGAAACAGGTTTTCTTGTTTGTTTGTTTCTTTGTTTTTAGTAAAGAACACAATCTTGGGGGTTCACAGTGTAATCAACTATCCTGCAACTCTCTTGACCATGAAACATCTCTCTTCCTGATTTTGGTGTTTTGGTAAAAGTGTGCTGTGTATATACAGGGTATATGCAAGTGTGTGCCTGACTCTGCGGGTAAACGTACCTGCCTGTGTTTTTTTTTTTCCATCATGCCCATGTGGAGGTCAGAGGAGAACTTATGGAAATCTGTTCCTCCCTTCCACTATGTGGATTCTGGGGATTGAACTCAAATAGGTATCAGGCTTACTGACAAGCACTTTAACCATTGAGCCATCTCATTGGCTTGTGCCTTACTCCTTCTGAGACAGAGTCTCACTGAACCTGGAGTTAGGCTGACAGTTGACAAGCTCCAGTCATTCCCTTTGTCTGTGTGCACCACTCCACAGGGATGACAGGCACATGGCCAGAGCTAGCTTTTTAGGTAGGTACTGAGGAAGGTTTTGAACTCAGATCCTCATGCTCAGGCAGTCCACACTTACATCCTGAGCCATCTTCCCAGCAAGTGCTTTAGGAGGCAATGTGATATTGAGGTGGAGCTTGGAATGAACATTTCCAAGGCAAGCAAAAGTTCAGGAGCCCTGAGCAATACACCCAACATGTTGCTGAAAGCCAACTGCAGGGAGAGAGTGGCCTTCTGTACCTGTCTGGGGACAGCCCCTGAGGTGTGTAAGTCTGCTTCACAAGTGAGCACTGGGGACTATAGCCAATCTTGCTGTCTCCAAGGTTTATACTGGAGGAGGCCTATGGGCAAAAGAGGGTGAAAGGTCAGAACTACCCTAGTTGTCATGGTTACCACCCATTCCCAGCAGAGTCAATGGCACCTTGATTTACCCTCTTACACATCAAGGCTGGTGGGCTTGGGAGGGCTTGGAACTGCTTCTTGTAGGAGGTGTCTTCCTGTCCCTTGTAGTTCCACTTCAGGGTGTTAGGACCCCCTAGGGAAGAAGAATGAGAAGTGGGTGGGAGAGAATGGGATTGATTTTTCTGCAGCCTCAAGGCCACCTGGAACTCTGCCCACAGGAAGGTAAGTTGGGCAACCCTGATTATTCGAGACTGAAAGATTTCTCAAAACAAAACAAAATAAACAAAAAGCTAAAAGTAATTTTGAAAGAGGGAGAACTGTTTAGATGGGTAAAGATGCTTGCTGTCAAGCCCAGTGACCTGGGTGAGATCCTTGAGTTTTACATGCTGAGAGTCAAGTTCCTCTTGCAAGCTCTCCTCTGACCTCCACATGCACACCCTGGGACATGTGCACATACAGATAAACACAATAAATGTAAGAAAACATGCGGCTACCAAGTATTGACACAGGTACTTCGGCTAAGGTCATTCCCTCTTCCCTTTCTCTCCCTTCCTCTCTCCTCTCCTGCCTCCACCCCCAGACAGGGTCTCATGTAGTCCTGGCTGGCCTCAGACTTTTCACATAGTTGGAGATGGTCATGAATTCCTGATTACCTTGCTTCAGTCTCCCTCACAGTGCTAGTTTTATAGGTTTGGCCACCATGCCCAGGCTCCTCCCCCCACCCCTCTTCTGTACGTTGGTTTGTTTCAGGTTGGCTATGTATGGATGTGTTGATACAGTATTCTGATCAGTAGTCATAGCTGCTTAGGAACTCTCAGTTTTCAGCCTTCTGTGTCCTGAGTTTAGGCCTAATTTAGGCTGATTAAGTCCTTCACTTATTTTATACCCTTGAGGCTCAGAGACTTGAAGTAGCCTTGAGGGGATGGTTGTTGGACCATGGTAGAGCACCTGCTTTGTATATTTAAGCATGTTGGAGTACATCTGAGACCCGGAATTTGGTTCCCAACAGGAAAAAGAAAAGAAGGTTGGGGAGACTCAGTAAAACACTTCTCCCATAATCATGAAGACCTGGGTTTGGATCTCCAGAATCCACATAAAAAATTCAGTTATGGCGGCACAAGTTTGTGGTCTCAGTCTAAGGAGGCAGGTCCCAGGAGCTTGCTGGCCAGCCAGTATAGCCTATTGAGTAAACTCCAGGCCAATTACAGACCCTGTTTTATAAACCGAGAAACTCGTTCTGGAAGCCAGGCCCTTCTCCCATTTTAGACCTCAGCAATGCATGTCTTAGAGAGTTCTCCAAGGGACAGCCATCCCTCTTAACTCTGATGAGGAGGGAAAAGCAGCAAAAATAACTCAAGAATGAAAACATGTACTTGAGAACCACTAAAAGGTGAACCATTTCCAACAGACATTACTATTGTTCATCCTGTGATGGAAAAGCCCTTGCAGTGGGGAAGCCCACCACAGAGAGACAGACAGCTCAGTCAGGAACTCCCTCTGACTGCCTCAGCTTCCCCAGTCTCCCCGCACCCTCTTTCTCTCTGCAGACCAGCCTGTCCTAGAATTCACAGGAATCCATCTGCCTCTGCCTCTGCCTCCACCCCCAGACAGGGTCTCATGTAGTCCTGGCTGGCCTCAGACTTTAGGCTGGAAAAAAAGGTATGTGTCACTATTATGTAAGTTTCTGCTGCAGGTTTTGAACACCTAATCTAATGTCATTTCCAGCTGTTGTTATTTGTTCTTTTACTTGGAAGCCTCACCTAAGGGGACACTGCTTTGCCTGAGACTGTCTCAGTCAAGGGCTCTAGGTCCCTACCTTGATGAGGATTCCCTTGGTGGGTTTCTGCTGGATTCTTTGAGCACCCAATATGAGGATGTTTTACTAGTTAAGGCTAGTTACTATAGTTGCTAATTTTTTTTCCTGTTATTTTGGCTTACTATATACTAATGATCTCACTAGTTCAAAACCAAAAGAATGGATATCGTAGTTCATTCTCTGGACCCACAAAGGTGGATGGAGGGTGTCTGAGCTCTGACACCCAAGGTTGTCCTCTAACTAACAGAATCACACCCAAACACACACAAAAGAAGCAAATAGAAACTCACCCCCCACCCAAAACCCAACTCAAAGGGAGTTCTCTTACTGACAGCAACTACAGTTGTACTGGAGACATTGCTAGAAAATTCCAAAAAAATCCTGGGGTCTTGTACGTCACCAGTCCAGTGCTCTACCACGGAGCTACATCCCTATCCCTTTTTTATTTTGGGAATTTCATTATGTCACCCAGGCTAGACTTGAACTCATCCTGTAGCTAGTGCTTGTCTCGAACTTCTATCTCAGCCTCTGAAGTGCTGAGACTACAGATTTGACCTGTTGTTGTTGTAGGTGGTGGTGGTGTTTATGTGTGTGTGAGAGGGAGGAGGGAGGGGGAGAGGGAGAGAGAAGAGAGAGAGAGAGAGAGAGAGAGAGAGAGAGAGAGAGAGAGAGTTTTGATCTTTCTGCCTCTACTTCCTCAATGCTGGGATGATTGCTGTTGACTATCATGCCTAGCTTACATAGTGCTGGGATGGAATACTAGCGTATTGTGCATGCAAAGTAAATATTCTACCAACTGAGTCACATCCTTAATCCTGGAGGTTTTAACAGCAGCATCTCTACTGGTTGGCAGCTCGAAGTACTTTCCTCTCAGTGTTGAAAGGTGACCATTTGCAGGAAGGGGGTGGGGGTGAGGGACGATGATTCATGAGGTGTCCCTGAATGTCCCTGGGTACAACATGGCTAGGGTATGCGCTCACCTAGATGGCTGCAGGGCGCACGGGGCTGAGGGGTTACGCCATCGTAGGGCTGGTAGTGTGCCTGGTATGAGGTGGATGGCATGCCCAGCTTCTTCCTGTCACCCGAGGGCATCGAATCCCGGTCAAAGAGGAGGCGTGCTCCTCGGATGTCCGCGCGGGGGCTTGGTGGTAGATCCGGCCAGCCGTAGTCAGCACGTGCAATGGACAAGTTGAGGACAGGACGCGTATCCGCGTGCAAATGCAGGTTGCTCACCTGCATAGCTCGCGTATGCTCCATTGTGTGCTCCCGCAGCTGGTCCTGCGACAGTAACGTGGGCGGTGGTGAGAATGCACGGCGCATCTCGGATATACGCTTCTGGGCAGCCCACCGCGCTTCCTTTTGGAAGATTGTGCCTTGCGGTGGTGACGAGGGGAGCTGGACCTGGGTGACATAGGGATAGGCCGCGAAGTCCCTGTGTGTTGTGCACTGCATAGTGCCATCATGTAGCCGTGGATCAGGACCCAGAGAGAAGTGTGAGGCCTTGAGGAACTCCCGGGACATCGGGCACACGGGCGTCATGAGGCCTTTCACCACCTGCAAGGGGCAAAGACGAAGGCTTGCGCTAGAGACAAACGCCGCCTCCACAACGGGACAATGCTGGCTTTCATTTTTTGGCCTGACTCTAGGAGGAGTAAAGAGATAGTCTTTTTATTTGGTACCTACTGTGTAAAGGGTATTGTGGTACTCTGCCAGCTAGTTTAGCTTAGAGACATTTTTTTTTTTTTTTTTTTGGTTTTTCGAGACAGGGTTTCTCTGTGTAATCCTGGCTGTCCTGGAACTCACTCTGTAGGCCAGGCTAGCCTCAAACTCAGAAATCCGCCTGCCTCTGCCTCCCAAGTGCTGGGATTAAAGGCGTGCGCCACCACTGCCCGGCTTAGAGACATTTTTAAAAGAGGGACCTCAATTGAGATAATATTCCTACTAGATTGACCTGGGAAACATTTTCTTCATTGAATATTGGGATAGGCAGGCCCAACCCACTGTGGGTGGTGCCATTTCTGGGCTGGTGGTTCTAGCTTCTAAAAGGCAGCAGGCTGAGCAGAGCTTGAGGAGCAAGCTAGCAACCAGCATCTATCTCTACGTGCTCTCTGCATCATACTCAGCTTCCAGATTTCCTGCCGTGAGTTCTTTCCCTGACTTCCCTAGATGATGGACTGCAAGCTGTAAAATGAAATAAACCCTTTCCTCGCAAACTTGGTTTTGGTCATGGTGTTTTATCACAGGAAAAAAAAAATCCTGAGACAGGTTACCCCAGACATCAGTTAACAAAAATAGACCAAGAATTCTGAGATTTTGTCAGCTAAATGATGGGGCTAGAGAACACACACACACACGCACACACACACGGATATTTAAACATTGTGATGGCCTATGAATATGAAATCATGCAGGAGGCAAGCCTCCAAGGAGGCCTGTGAGAAATGTTGGAAGTTAACTGAGGTAAGAAGATGTACACTAACAGTGACCTTGAACTGGGTCCTGGGTTGTGTAAATCAGTGGCTCTCAACCTGTGGGTCAGAATGCCTTCGCTGCTGAATGACCCTTTCACTGGGGTCACCTCAGACCATCAGAAAACAGAGATATTTACATTATGATTTATAATAGTAGCAAAATTAGTTATGAAGTAGCAATGAGTTTTATGGTTGGGGGTCACCACGGCATGAGGGACTGTATTAAAGGGTTGCAGCGTTAGGAAGGTTGAGAACCACTGGTATAAATGGTGAAGTTGACCTGAACACAAGCGTTGGTAGCTTGTGGTGGTTTGAATATGCTTGGCCCAGGAGTGGCCTTGTTGGAGTAGGTGTGATCTTGTTGGAGGAAGTGTGTCATACTACATTATTGTGATTGGCCTGACCATACTTTTGTTTGAAAGAATGTGGATTTGAGGACTTTGTTTAGAAGTTAGAACTGGTTCTGCTCCCCAGCCTCATGCTCCCAGAAATAAGACTCAGACTTAAAATATATGTACAAATATCTTGGCCATTTAGAACAGGTCATAACTAAATAACCCAATTGCTTTAACCTGCATTCTGCCATGTGGCTGGTTACCTGTGCTCAGGTGCCATGTATCCACCTTCTCACATCTTCCCTGTCAATCTCCTGCCTGGCTCTCCTTTCTCTGTCCAGATGTGCCACCGCTATTTCCTGCCTAAGCCATAGGCTTTTCAATTGATAGGTGGTGCATCCATACAACACGCAATATAGTCTCTCTACATCTTTGAATTTAGAAAGCAGTGGAATGTTTCGAGTGGGGTTTAATGGGCTATCCTAGTAGGAAGACGGAAGACATTCTTGCTGAGGATGCTTGGAACTGTGGAAGCCTGGCTCTAGAAGTTTCAGAGGAGAATTTTAGTATGTGGCCTATAGATTATTCTTGTGCTATTTTGGTGAAGAATGTGGCTGCTTTCTGCCCTTGTCCAAAAAGTCTGCCTGAGGCTAAGGTGAAGAGACTCAAATTAGTTGCACTGAGAAAGGAGGTCTCAAAACAACCCAGTTTTAACTCTGTGTTATGATTTACTCTCAAGAAGAACATTTTGACCAAGTGTAGCAAGGTTAGAAAGAAAAGATACAAAATGTGTAGTTCAAAGAGTGAGGGACACCAGGAAGTGGAATGAAGGTCCATCCTGTGTTGAAGGACGTTAAGTGGAGTTAAGGGAGCGGTGACCACTGGGAAAGATCTTACCCAGCTAAACTTATGCTTTTGCAGTTGAACTACAGATAATTTTATCAAGTTCGGTGTTACTACCTGGCTACTGTTTTTGTTTGGTCTTTACTCTGGAATGAACTACAATCCAGAAATTGAGGGCACACATGCCATCCAGATCTTAAAGATGGAAGACACAGGCTTTTGATCTGGATGTTGAGGTCTAGTGGCCATGAAGAGCTTAGGCTCAAGCATGGTGGAACATGCCTTTGATCCCAGGAGACAGAGGCAAGCAGATCTCTGAGTTCAAGGCTAGTCTGGGACAGAACAAGTACCAAGTAGAGAAAAGCTTAGGTCCAGGTGTGTTAGTACACACCTTTAATCCCAGAACTGAGAAGAGAGGGGCTTGTAGACCTGTGAGCTCAAGGCTAGTCTACAGAGCAAGTTCCAGGACAGCCAAGCTTAGGCAATGAGGGAGTTGGAAAACAGAAAACTGGTGATAATGTAATAGAACAAGGGAACCATGTCCCAGCTCCTGCAAGCAGCAGAACTCAGCAGCTTCAGCCATGTGGCTCTGGCTTTAGAGTCAAGAGTAGAAGGAGACTACTGGGACAACTGATGCTGGTTAGCTGGAGCTAAGATATTAGTGGTTATTAAGAAGAGGTGAAACCGGGCTGGAGAAATAGCTCAGCGATTAAGAACACTGACTCCTCTTCCAGGGGTCCTGAGTTCAAATCCCAGCAACCACATGGTGGCTCACAACCATCCGTAATGAGATTGAATGCCCTATTCTGGTGTGTCTGAAGACAGCGACTGTGTACTCATAAAATAAAATAAAATAAAATAAAATAAATAATTAAATCTTATAAAAAAGAAGAGGTGAAACCTTCTGGAAAGTGTTTTCTAAGAGCATAAAGAAGCTATGTTCCAGAGATAGACCTCCTACTGGTAGCTGGACTTGGTAATGTGTAAAAAAATCACCCAGGTGGTACTTGTTTTGAAAGCATAAGAGGTCATAGAGAGAAGCTGAGGCTTGACACTGTGAGAGGTCAGGAAAGGCCTTTGGGGAAGGTATAGCCTCAGTTGCAGTTGATGGCCTAGGACTGAAGGGGTCATGCAAAGAAGTTGAAGCTGGACATCATGAAGAGAGCCTATAAAAGGCTATTGATGAAGCCTGGTTGCAGCAGAAGACCACAGTGTATTGGAGATGCCGGTACCATGGGATGACCACCAAGAATAGCAGCAGCAGTGGAGTGGAGTCAACCAGAGCCTAGAGTGCTACAGAGGGCAGAGCTGGAGACGTGACACAAGCCCTTTGGAGGAGCACAGAAGATCATGTGTGGGTCACAGACAATGGAACAAGAAGCTGTAAAGTAGAAGTTGCCTTGGATACCTCAAGATGTTAGAGATGCCAGAGCCATGGGATACCTGCTGAGGAAAGCTGACCACAGGGAGTGGCACCAGCCCAAGAGAAAGAACTGTATTGCAGTCAACCAAGCTGAAAGGAGTTGTACACCAGACATGGAGACGCAGAGTTTGGAGTTTGCCCAGCTGGTTTTTGGTCTTGCTTTGGTCCAGTGTTTCCTCACTATTACATTTGGAATGGTAATGTGTAGCCTGGGCCATGATATATTGGACGTATGTGATCTGCTTTGTGATTGTGATTTTATAGGGGATTACATTTAAGTGATTGGATGAATCTCAGAAGAGACTTTGAACTTTAGACTGTGTTGAGACTGTGATAGACTATGGGGACTTCTGAAGTTGGACTAAATGTATTTTGCATTATTCTATGGCTAGGTATAGCTCCCATAGACTCATGTGTTTGAACAAGCCTTTGGGAGCCAGGGAGTGGAATGCGGTGATCTGAATATGCTTGGCCCAGGGAGTGGCCTTGTTGGAGTAGGTGTGGTCTTGTTGGAGGAAGTATGGGGTGGGCTTTGAGACCCTCCTGCTAGCTGCCTAGAAGCCAGTTGGCTCCTGGCTGTCTTTGTATTAAGATGTAGAACTCTCAGCTCCTTCTCCAGCAACATGTCTGCTGGCATGCTGCTCTGCTTCCTGCCATGATGATAATGGATTAAACCTCTGAAACCGCCAGCCCCGATTAAGGTATAGTCATACACCAAATAAGGTATAAGGGTATAACTCTTTATAAGAGTTACCTTGGTCATGGTATCCCTTTACAGCAATAAAACCCTGACTATGACAGTAGCTTTGCTTGTTGACTGCACATGCTATATGCATGTTAGAAGCTTCCCTCGAAGCCTCTCCACCTTCAACTTTAGATGGTCAGTCCCTCCAATCAATCAGCCAGATGCTTCCTCCCACATCTTCCCACCAATCCCTGAGCTCACCCAAGCTCAAGACTTGAAATCTCACCAATCCTCACCCTGGAGAGCTCTGCCCTAGAAAGCTCTGCTCGGTAAGAATCCCCGTGAAAGCACTGCACTCTGTCCAATTGCTTGCTGTCTGCTTCCTCCTGGGAGCATAGGCAGCCACTCCTGGATTCTTCCATCCACACCCTGAACCCTCTAATAAATTTTTTTAGGAGATTTGCTGCCTGGTGTGACTCTGTCACTGGAAGACAAGAAGCAGTGAAGAGAAGAAGCAGGGCTGAGGCTGCTGAGCTCCTCAGCTGGGGATAGTCTTCCCTAGAAGACTCAATGCCTCTGCTGAGGAGAATTCCTCTCAGAGCTGTGTGGGCCCTGGTTTTCTGAGTCCCAGGATACCTTCCCCTCTGAGCAGGAAGGCCAACACTAGGCTGGACTCCAACTTGATATGTAGTCAGGGGTGGTCTTGAATTTGTGTTCTCCCTCCCTTCAACTTCTAACCTTGGGATTGTAGGTGTATCACCATGACTGGCTTGTGTCTCGCAGAGGATGGAGCCCAGGTCTCAGTGCATTCTAGGCGAGCACTCTACCAGCTGACTACAGGGCAAGGTCCCTTATTTCATTCATTCATTCATTCATTCATTCATTCATTCATTCATTCATTCATTGGTCTAGGCTGATCTCAAACTCACACACTCATTCTCTTGCCTCTACTTTCTAAATTCAGGGATCACCAACACAAAGCCAACATGTGTGTGTGTGTGTGTTTGTGTGTATACATGTGTGGAGGCTAGAAAACAACCTCAGATGTCATTCTCAAAAGTGTCCTTCACCTCCTTTGAGACCGTCTCTCATGGGCTTGGAGCGCATTGATTTAGCTAGGCAGAATATAAGTGAGCCCCAGGGATGACCCTGTCTGAGACCATAAGAGGCACCTAACATGGATGCTAGGAATCAAATTCACTGAATGATCCAATCTTCAGCTCTTTTTTTTGTTTCTTTTTGACATAATATCTTATGTAGTCCAGTCTAATCTTGAATTCCTTGTGCAGATAAGAATGACTTTGAATTTCTGATCCTCTAGCTCCTGCCTTCAGAGTGCTAGGATGTCAGGCCTATATCACAACACCTAGTTTACACAATGCTGGGATTTCAACCCAGGACCTCATGCATGCTGGGCAAGCATTTTGCCAGTGAACCAGAGCCCTAGTCCAATACAGGTCCTTCTCTTCCTTTTTATCTTTATCAGAGTCCAATGTGAGCACATAGCAGGCTAAAGTCAGGGAGGGCTTTCTGAAAGAAGTGATCCTGGAAGGCAGAAATGTTGGTGGGCAGCAAGAGTCTCTAAAAGTATCTAAAAGGTTTACAAAATTTACAAAGTATTCAAAGATTGCAAAGTATACAAAGTTTACAAAGGGAGTCTGCAGGAGGAGCTAAGGTGGGAGGAGTAAGGAGAGGAAGAGGAGGAGTTTGGGAGAAGAAGAGGAAAAGGAAGAGGAGGAGCTAGGAGAGAGAGATAGATGTTGGAGGATGGAGAACCACACAGGTATGGAGAGCACTCATGGGGAACTACTTATAAACTTATAATTAGGTTAGCTAATTGGGATACAACTCTCTTTGTATGGGCATCGTGTTATTAATCATTATCAAACATATGAAGCCTTTGATTAATCTGTAAGAATTAGAGTCTCATTCTCTTACTGGGCCCGCATGGATGGTGGAATGGTCTGGGCAATGCCCTGTCTTTCAGAGCCAGCAGAGCCATCTCCTACGCTGGCATCTAGTGGGTGGCAGGGCTGTTGTTTCTTTCTGGCCATTTCTAGCTGCAGCACGCACATGGCCTCAGGCCGAGAAACATGGCAGCTGAGCTAGGCAGAGTCGTCGAAGCTTAGATAGTTGGCTTGAGCCAGAGGCCTATTTTTTTTTTGAACATGAAATGCTTTTTTATAGCATGTTTTACAAGGGGAGGGGGTAAGAGGGGCCAGGTGGTGGAAAAGTACAAAATCTTCTTGGCCTGTGCCTTGAAACATGTCATGGTCTATACGGTACACTGCCTTGAATTATGATCTACCTGCTGTTCTTCAGAAGATATGGTACACTGCTTGAGTTATGGTCTCCCTGCTATTCTTAAGATGATATGGTATACTGCTTTGAGTCTATCTGCAGTTGCTAAGCAGGATCTTGCAGTTGCCAAGCTTCAGAGGACATTGTGCAGGTGGGGGAAAGGTAGGGGGTGAGGGTAAGGGCGAGGGTCCTGGCTTCTGGCATCTCCCCCTTCTCTGTTTAGTTAGAGAAGGCATCTTATGATCAATCCCAACTATGTGAATTTTGAATTTGGATGTCTAATTATGGGGGGTCTTAGACAAGTTCACAACCCCAAAACACTGATGTGAGACGAGTCACATCGATGGTCGAAGGTTTTAGGCTGTCGACGATGGGCAACGTCAAGGGACTCTGATGTGGGTGAAAGGAGGGTGAGAGCCCTGTCTTAGGCCATGTAGGCTGCACCCACTCCCAGCACCACGCACCACGCCTATTTTAAATAATTACAACAGGAGTCCCACATGAATATCCAACACCTAGGCTACATCCAACCTGTGTCTTAGGTTAAAGCTGTAGCTTAGTGGTTGTGTGTGTGTGTCTAGCCTATGTGAGATCCTAGGTTCAGATCCTAGTACTCCAGGGTACAGGGACAAGGACGCAGACCTACCTTATTAGCTTAATGAATCTTGAACTTGGCTCCCGTCTGGTCCCTCTGATCCTGTCCAGCCCTGGTCATCCCAGGGGATGGTCTCCTGGTCCTTTCTAGAGGTTAACCCAAGATGGTCTGGCCCAGCTCATTGTGACCTCAGGAGTTCTCCCAGGTAATGCTGTCACATAGGTGTCCTACTACCTCTAGGGACAACCTTGAGGACCTGGGATTGAATTCTGTCAGAGACTCAAGCATGGAATTTGAGTTTTCAAGAGCCTCAGTTTTGTGATCTGGGAAATGGTATGGAGAATAGTGATGAATTTAGAAGATGATGTGTATATGGGGGTGGGTCCGGCGAGGATAATATGTTTAATTTCTGTTTATCTGTATCTTGACACCACACACAAGGACAGATGTCCTTGAGTCACTGGCCCCTTCTTGTCATGCTAGGGAGTCACAGTCTGCCAAAGAATCTTTTAAAATTTTAATTCCTTTAAAAAAAAAAAAGAACTTTTAAAAGTGCATTTTGTAAGAATTAACTTAAACTGTTAACAGGCACAACCTAGAATCACTTGAGAAGAGGGTCTCCGTGAGGAGTTGTGTACAGACAGTTGGCCTGTGGGCCTGCCTGTACAGGATTGTCTTGAGTTAATTGACGTGGACTCAGTTTTCTGTGGGTGGCAACATTCCCTAGGCAGGGGGTCCTAGAGACAGTGGGGAGCAATCAGTGAGCACACTGAGCAAGAACTGGGCACCCATGCATTTAATTCTCTCCATTGTCTACTGTGGATGTGATCTGAGTAGCTGTTTGACATTCCTGCCTTGCCTTCACAGTGGACAGCCACCTAGAGTCATAAGCTGCAATACACTCTTTCTCCCCTATGTTGCTTCTTCTTCTTTTTTTTTAAAAAGAGTATTTAAACAACAGCAATACAAATGGAACTAGAAGACATTTATTTGTATATATGTGAGTGTGTGCATATGTTCCATGGTGGTCCAGGAAAAAATGTTTGGGAGTCGTTTCTCCTTCTACCATTTGGGTCCTAGGGAGTAAACTGTGGGGGGGTGTTTTTGTGCGCTGTGTACTCAGATGCTGATTTCTGTACCTGAAGATCTTGTTGTAGTCCGGCCTTAGTATTGTCATTAATATGAAGCATTTCCTGACTTTGTATCAAAATTCCTCAGTATTTTGTAAGCCATTGTTCTTCACCATCTTCTGATTGGTTAAAATAAAGGGCTGAAAAGCGTATAGCTGGGCAGGAGAGGAAAAGGCAGGACTTCTGAGTCCAGAGAGATGGAGAGAGTTTCAGGTGGGACCTGGAGAGACATGGATGAGATAGAAGGTGCCAGGACCAGAGACTAAGATGGCAGGTAACGGGCCACGTGGCTGGGAAGTAGGCCAGACCTGCATTGTTGGGTTAGAATAGCTCAGAATCTCCCCAGCTATAGTGCTGAAGCTCTCCATAAATATAAAGGTCTCTGTGTCATTATTAGGGAACCAGGGAGGGCATAGAAACTCCCCTTACTTTAACAGCAAGTGCCTTCACTCACTGAACGATCTTTCTGGTCTCTGTTGATTTTTGAGACAGGTTTTATGTAGCCCAGGCTGGCCTCCAACTTATGATATAGTCAAGAATGACTTTAAACTGATCCTCCTGCCTCTACCTCCTCAGTGCTGAGATGTCAGATGTGCACTACCACATCTGCTTTGTGTGGTCCTAGGGATGGAATCCAGGGATTGATGTATGCTAAGCAAACTGTCAGCTGAGAGCTTCAGTCCAAGCACTCCTTTCAGATGCATGTTACCCTACTATCTAAACTACTACTTGGAAACATACCCTTGGTGAAATAAATTCTAATTTGACTTGACCTTGTGCATGTGTGTATGTGTGTGTGTGTGTGTGTGTGTGTGATATGTATATGTGTGTGTATATATACATGCGAGTATGTGTGTGTGAGATGTGTGTGTATGTGTGCAATGTGTATGTCTCAGGGTTTATACTGCTGTGAAGAGACACCATGACCAATGACAACATTTAATTAGGGCTGGGTTACAGGTTCAGAGGTTTAGTCCATTATCATCATGGCAAGAAGCATGGCAATGTCCAGGCAGACATGGTGCTGGAGAAGCTGAGAGTTTTACATCTTGATCCAACTCCAGCCAGGAGAGATTGTTTTCCAGGCAGCTAGGGGGAGGGTCTTAAAGCCCACCCCCACAGTGACACACTTCCTCCAACAAGCCACACCTCCTAATAGTGCCATTCCCTGGACCAAGCATATTCTAACTCCCATACTCTATGTGTGTGTAAGTGTGCTGTGTGTGTGCTGGGGTGTTTTATAAAGTACATAGAGGACTTGTTTTGTGTGAGTTTTGGGGGTGAGAAGGAACCGGGGCTTTTCTGCCTGGGAAAAGCTCAGAGTTAGGTTACAAAGGCACATTTTTTTTCCTTCCTTTTTACATTGCTGTGGATGGAAATCAGGTCCTCCCACACAGGTAGGCAAGTCCTCTGCTAGTAAACCAGGCATGCTGGCAATCACCTACACTCCCAGCTCTATAAGCTCAACAGAGACAAGAGGCAAGTCATCACAAGCTTTAGGCCAGAGTAGTCTTCAGCACCTTGTCTTAAAAAAATATGTTGAGGCTTGGTGTGGTGGTACACACCTTTAAACCCAGCACTTGGTTAGGCAGAGGCAGTCGGATCTCCATGAGTTCAAGGGCAGCCCTGGATCCTGGGGTCATACATGGTAGAAGGAGAGAACTGAATTCTGAAAGATGTCTGACCTCCACATATGCCTCATGGCATGCATGCATGAGTTCCTCCCTGTCGCCCCCAAATAAATGTCTAAAAAGTGAATCTCACTGTATGCAAATTATACTTAAAAAATGGCAGTTAAAAAGAGAACACTCCCAATACACACACACACACACACACACACGCACGCACACACACACACAGAGAGAGAGAGAGAGAGAGAGAGAGAGAGAGAGAGAGAGAGAGAGA